TACATATGTTTATTTAAATCTCATGGTATACATATATTTATAGGTTGATGGCATACAAAAACACATATATTTTCATACAAGCCCTATAAAACTCCAACACAATTCCACACAACCTCTAATTTGTGAAATTTTAATTAGAAAACCAGTGTAAACTTATTCTAGTAATAAAGCATAAATCAGAATGCCAGGTCTAATATGCATTTTGCTTGAAACAAGGTTACTGGATTAGGGCTTTTGGATAGTATAAAGTTACATACAAATTTAAAAATAAAGAAAGTATGAATTACATCCTTTTTGAAAAATCAATATATTTGCAGTTCTTTGCTTGATATAAATACTGGAATGGCATAAATACTGTATAGGTCAGCCATTAATTTAAAGCCCTGCATCCAAAATGCACTAACAGGAGCTACTTTCACTCCAGTTTCACATTAAAGAAAAAACACAACCCACATTCTGTCACTAATTGCACTAATGAAAGACATTCTAGTTATCATGTAGGTATAAAACATACAACTCTATGAATATAACATATGTTATTTTCTGGATACAAAGATTTTATTTATTTATTTATTTATTTATTTATTTATTTATTAAATTTGTATGCCGCCCATCTCCTCCAGTGAGTGACTCTGGGAGGCTCACAATAAAAGTAAAAGCCACAAACAGTTAAAAAATAAATACCCCCATTCATTCATTAAAATTAATTAATTAATTAAAAAGTCAACCTACAGAAACAAGCCCTATACATAAAAACTAAGAAACATTCAAGATGATGGGGGAGTAACATCAATTACCCCACAAGCCACTTCCACTGGTGTGAGCCCCCACTGAAGGCCATGAGAGTGGGGGCACACCGCACATCGGGAGGTAGGTTGTTCCACAAAGCAGGGGAATATTACAATATTATCCAATTTTTATTGGATAGTATATTATCAAAATATACTATCAAATAAAATAAAAAATTATCAGTTTTTTGATAAAGAAATAACGTCAAACTATAATTAGATGACCTCACTTTATACTATGCACAATATATAACTTCACTTAGCATGGAGAGACCACAAGGAAGGAAAAAATTACAAAGAAAAATCACAAGGTGAACAAAAGAAAATGTTACTGAGTACAAAACTTTTCAGACTGTCATGAGAGTAAAGCTAGAACTGATTTAAGATGCTCCTAAGAAATATTTCGTTTTACATTTCAATTTACCAAACATCTTTTTCCCCTTTTCTCCTCAGCTTGCAGCCACACAGCAACTAATTTTCATGAAGTTGCTATGGATGGAGCCATTGAAAATTTCATTTATTATAACTTTTCCAGTTGATGCCATTTTGTAAGGCAAATATAATTTTTAATCCATTTAATATTTATTGCTAAAACACCTTTCTGGGTAGATTTTTTTGTTACTGTGGGACAATATAATGTTATAATGCTTTTATATCCTTTTTTCTTCTTCTTTTCTTTCTAGTTCTTCTCGACTATGTGCTAAGGGGGGGGTTGGCGTGGATGCTATCTTTTTGTTTCTGTATGGGGCTTTTTGTGGATTTGGCTGGTCCCCACAACCACTGAGCTAGTGGGGGAACTCTCTGTGATTGAAGGGGAAGCTGGGGGGACCCAATATAGTATTTACTGTTTCTCTCAGGTATCTCACAAAGCCCTGGAGACACCCGAGGCCTCCAAGGCTGCAGAAGGCTGCCAAGGCTTCCGGAGGCCGCAGAGCAAGAAGGAAAGTTCAGAGATGGAGCCAAGGAACCAATGTTTTTGAATTTAGCTTGGACAGACTCAACCATAGTTTCAGCTGGGAAACTGTGAGCATCCCAGACCAAGCCAAATCCAAAAATGCTAGGGAATTCCTGGAAGTTTGGCATTCAGACAAATCAGCCATGAACAGACACACAAGCCATTCAAACGAGCCAATCAAAAAAGCTAAGAAGGAAACAAAAAGACCAGAACAGATCCTCTCCAGCAGCCAACACCCAGATAAGAAGGAATTAACACCAGGCAAACAATCAAGCAGAAAACAATACCCTAATCAAGGAACTACCAAAGAGAAAACCACACCTCCACCAAAACTAGCAGGGCAAGCTACTATATATAAACAGGCAGCAAACCCCACACTCACTTACACAGAAGATGTTACCTAGCTGGGTAATGAAACGTCTGCAAGCAAACCACCAAGCTCAGAGAACACCAAGGACTCCAGAGGGAGATACGGCAGAAATTCGAGGTTGGGCCGCCCTCAGGGACACCAGGCCTGCTGCTTGAAAGTAGTCCCACTATCCAGCCCTCAGTTTCTACCCTCAATGCCAGGCAACAAAGGTAAAAGCAATTTTAGGCTGCATCACAGTAATTTATAACTCCAGGGAAGTAATTGTTCCATTTTATTCTGCATTGGTCACACTCACGTTCAGTATTACATCTACTTCTGGGCAACATTGTTTAAGAAAGAGTCTGACAAACTAGAAAGGTTTGGAGAACAGCAGCATGATAAAGGAACTGGAAATTTAAGTCCAGTGAAGAGAGATTGAAAGAACTGGGACTGAGGGTTTATATGACATCATTCTTCAAGTATTTGAAAGGATGTCATGGGGTGATGTTTCTCTCCCCAAAGTTCAGGATTTATGTTGCAGAAAGGCAGATTTAAATTGAATGTGAGGAAAACAGTTCTAAAAGAAACCTGCATGATAGTGATAACAAATACAGTAGAGTCTCATTTAACCGACCTTCGCTTATCCGACATTCCGTCTTATCCGACGCCCCTAAAAAAACACAACACGCATAAATCGGCAACGAGAAAAGTGTGCCGCTTGTTTGCAAGTGTGAGTGTACTTTCTTGTTGCTCCTGACGGTGGCGCCGCAACGCAAAAATTGATTGCAACAGGTGCGGCGGAGCTTTTTTTTTTTTTTTTTTACCGCACTCAATCTTTACTGTGTGTTATCCGACATTTTCGCTTATATGACGTTCTGCCGGCCTATTTATGTCAGATAAGCAAGACTCTACTGTACCTGGAGAAGTGGAGAACTCCCCTTGGTTGCATGTGTTTAACCAGAGGCCAGAGGTTAACTGTCAGGGATATTTTAATTTGGATTCCTGCATTGACCTGATGGTGGGCTTAACTTGATGGGGAGAGAGATGATGGAGTATATTTACTACTTTCTTTAAAGCATTTAAATGCACATACATAACAGGCATACATCCAATTTTTAGTTTTTTTCATCAAACTTTGCAAATTCAGAAATAAGAAAAGCTAAGTTCCAGTCAGTTTTTCACCATCTGTTGCTCTTCAATTATATAATTTAGTTTCCTAAATCTATATTTTCCTCTCACTTTCTATTAATGACGACCAGAGTAGATTAAATCAGGACATTACATGTCTTTCAAACACAATACATTGTATATGTATGTATGTATGTGTATATGTGAATATGTTTGTATGTGTTTGTGTATACAGACATACACAAAAAACCTTACAATGTGTCTAAACTTCTCATTTAATGGAGGCCAATGGATCTGATCCTGTATCTCACACAGCAGTGCAATAGGCATAGTCAGATTTTCCACAAACAGAAATCTCTACACATTTACAGCAGGACTGATTGGAAAAATACATGGTCAAGATTGTATTGAGTATTGGAAAAATACTCAAGGCACAAAGTTTCAATACCTTAGCAAAGTTTAGTGAATTAGATACCAAGTGTTCTCAAAGTCTGGCAGAGGTCGAGTTATTCAAATCGTCACAGTAAGGGTCAAGGGCCAAGACTATCACAAATCTTTCATCATTTGAATGAGTACAGCTTCCTCCTTGGAAAAGGACTCCACTGAATCATTCATGATAGAGTGCCAAATAAACTTTCATGTAGACCCTTGGTGTTCTCTCTGTGTTTAAACTGTCTTGGAACTGGTCTATGTGCATGATTTGATTTGATTTGATTTTCTACATGGATGAGACAAAAAGGGGCAAGGAAACTAAGTTGCCTTTACATGACACAACTCAGCAATCAACTGACATTATTCTGGCAGTATTCCTTCTTTTTCATCCAATCAGCGTCCAGAACAGCACACCCGAAGAAGAAAAAAACTGTTAGATTGCAAGAACTATGAAAATACTTCCATGAGCCCAAGGGGACTTTAGACTTGGTTTTTATTCACAACCATCCCTTGTTAGTCACGCCACAAATCAAACTTTTTGGCGGTGGTGGAGTCTGATAGAATTTCAAAGTGAGCAGCATGTGACAAGACATGATGTAGCACTAATTAGACTTTTTTTTAATCTACTGGGCCACAAAAACCCAGGTAGAACTGAAAAGGAGCATATATGCCATCATCCAGGAATCAATACACTTTTTCATGTATCTGTAGTAAGAAAGGATGTTTGTCAAGACCATCTGAAGGGTCACTATGATGAATTTTCACAGCATTTGGCGGACAAAAGCATTCAAATTTGAGAGGAGCTGGACTCCAGCTGGCCTGGGGCCTGGTCTTATGAAGTGATCTAATTTTGAGTCTACAGTATGAGTGCTCAGGATGTGAAGAGGACCCTCTCTAGTGTCTGCTCTACCACGTGGACCCCTGCCCTCTGCTTCTCCATAAAGGTGCACTAGAAGTTTTCACCGGCCGATCCAACTATTTTCAAATTCAATTTCTCCCAACATATTGCAGAGGTTTTCTTTCTCACACATAGACAGAATCTGAGCCCCTTTACATAATTTATTTCCAATGTTCCATTGACTTGGAAAGAATAAAAAGGGAAATGAAAAGTATCTATGCAGGAATTTTTGCTAAACAATCCTGCAGACATGAAGGATCATGTGAGAGTTTTTAAAAGTTTTAAAACCTCAATTTTATCGACTCACTAATCAACAGAGGCTCTGGATACTGTGAGCTCTCTTTTTACCTCCCAGGAGGTCAATTCCATTCCACTAGTGCCACCAACTTGAAGAAACAAAATAACTTGGCAGTGAATACAAAAGAGGGTTAATAATGAGAAAACACTTACCATAACTCTGAAAGCCAGAAGAGCAGAAGTAGCAGACAAATTAATGAGATTTCTGTGAACCTTCCCTCAACTAGCAACTCATCATTAGGACACCAAGTCTCAAGAGCTGGAAGCATTCATAAATAATAATCAAGTTCTGTCATTTAAAAGTCAAACAATGTGTTCTTTCTGTGAATTCAGACAGTATTTTCTATATCCTTTGCAGCTGCAATGATCTCCCCCACACGCCCGCCAAGTTTGCACTTCAACTACAATTTGTTATCAGGAAGTTAGCGAAAAACTAAACAAAACATACAAACATGTGAAAACCTGAAGCAATCCCAGTATTTTGTTCTTGCATGTGTTGGGACAAAAATACAGTGGAAGTCAAAGTCCAACAAACACGGTGCTTTGACCTCAGAATAAAATTAAATAGACACTTGTGTATTTCCTCATCTTATCATTAATAATAGTAGACAAGCGTCAATAGAAAAATACATATGAGAAGCAGGCCAATAAAGTCAATGCAATAATACCTGAAAAACTGACCTCTGGACATCCGTACCAGTGGCTCTGCTTGAAAGATCATTATGGAATCTTTCTGTGGCTGTAGTATTAATTGTACAGCAACTTCACAATGACTCTCCCCATTCAGATATTACACCATGAACAGCAAGCTCCATTCAGTTTTGATACTTAATACATTTTGGGTCCAGGGCTAAGCTAACTGTCACACTAATTCTGTAGCATATAAAAATCCTGCCATATTTACCAACTCAAAAGTTAAGTATGTGGAGGCCTGATTCAGACTGAAATGACTAATGTCTAATGGAGAAACCTCATAGCTTCAGACAGATTTCACACCCTGCAGGTATGCACTGCAAATGAGAACACAAAACCAATTGCAGCCTCATGCCAAAACCCTTTAGTGGGTCAATGAATATAAAGTATATGTGGAGTGCATTTTAAATATAGCTTTTCAGCTGTCAATCTTCTACACTGGCACTCAGGTATATTAAGTGGTCAAGAAGACTAGGTCTTATAAATCAAAAACTCCAGTAATCTAAAAATAATGCCATATTTACCCAACAGAAAGATAAGGTTTCTTTTCCTCAAGTGATCTGTAAATTGGGGACAGGCCTCATCTTATTTCCACTGATAGGAATAGAAGGAACTATCAATAAGGGAATAAAGATATTTTGGGTTTTTTTAATAACTCATACCAGCTTAACTTATCTGTCAAAGGGAAGCAATAATAACTGAGAACAAATGCTGGCCACTTTGTAGGATAACATTAACAAAATTGTTACAGAAGTATTAAAAACTACCATACATAGGAAAAGGGAGGAGAAATCTCCAGAATTAATTTAAGCTGGAGTCAACATACCTCAGTAATAGAGATGTGCGGTATTTGGATCTGAAGCAGAAAAGGTGCTTCAGATCTCTCATGGGTACCCTTGCTGAACCTGTGGCAACCCCTTAAAGGAGCTGTACCTTTTCCCAGGCTCCCACAATAGCTACACAGGCTCTGGAAAATCCCAGAATTTCAGGGGGCATAACAGAGACCGTAACATGGAATGCAACCACCTCTTAATGCCTTCTTAACTTAAACATGCATTTTCCTAGCCCAAGCTGCTACCAAGTGAGTCAAAGAAAGGGCACAATTCCTTTAAAAAGCTTCAAACAGGTACAGCAAGGATATAGGTCATGCTGGCTGGGGAATTCTGGGAGGTGAAGTCCATACATCTTAAAGTTACCAAGTTTTAGAAAAATCGATATACAGGTAGTCCTTGACCTATGACCACAATTGGGACTGGGACTTTCATCGCTAAGCAATGCAGTTGTTAGGCGAAATGTCACATGACTGCACCGCCTAGTGATGGCAGTTCCAATAGTCCCAGTTGTGGTCGTTAGGCCAGGACAGTGCTGTCGTTAGACGAGTACCTCATGTTTCTCCTGCTCTGCTGCGCTCACCTTCGCATTAACTCCCCCCACCCACCTATCTCCCCCCCCGGCCCCTTTGGCCCCCTGCACAGTGGCATTCCTCAGTAGCAGCAGCAGTGCTGAGGCTGAATTAGAGACCTGAGGGCAGAGGCAGCTGGCTGAGACTGCTAAAGGCCTCTAATGCAGCCCCACCGCTGCTGCCACTGAGAAATGCCACTGTGCAGGGCACCCAAAAAGGCAGAGATGGGGGGGGAAATGGGTGGGGGAGTTGAAGTGCCCCTGTGGTTATAAGGACAAGCAGACTGCCAAGCACCCAAATTTTGATCACGTGACAGCAAGGGCACTGCAACAGCTGTAACTTCGGATGCCCGTCGTAAGTCCCTTTGTTCATTGCTGTCATAACTTTGAATGGTCACTGAACAAGTGGTCGTAAGTCGAGGACTACCTGTAGGCAATAAGTAACCTTTGCCTATTTTGGATCCAAATACTGCACACCTAAGTTGACAAGGTATATGAGGGTTGGGGTGTCTTCTTAAATTCAGGGATTTCCATTTAGGTAAATATCAGCCCATCACAGTTTCATATTGTCAGCTAACTGCACAAGGCAATAAACAAACCCAATTTTGGTTAATCTCAAAAGCACAAGGTAAGAGCATTGCCACTCAAATTCCCTCGCCTCTTGAACATCAATCCCATTCCCCTCGGTTACCTGTGACATAAACAGATTTTTCTCTTTTTAAGTCTTTTCTAATAAGATTCAGTTCTAAACCTGAGTTCACTGAATTAAAAAAAAAAACTTATTTCTTAGTAGTATTGATCACATTTTCTTACTGAATAGAACTGACTACATGTGCCCAGCTATAAAATGTAAAAGGTTTCCAGTGTTTAATATGAAAAAAAACACAATGAGAACCGCTGTGTTCTTGAGTCAGTCTGAAGGCATAACACATTTTCTTCATTAACCTAGTAATAATGTTAATTTCTTTAACATTATCTTCATAAGTAGCAGCAGAGTGCCAAGTTAAATGCTACTAATTTCATTTTAAATGAAATAATGTAATGCAAAGAGATTAACTGAAATGTCTTTGCAAAAAAAATGTTAAAAATGGAACAAGTAAATTATACTGAATCTAATAAAAAGTATAAGTGTAAAAGACAGGAAAGCCAATCTCATTTGTTCTCTAGAACTAATCAATACACTCCATGAAACGGCAGTAAATTCACGTTTCAAACTGATCTGTTCGTTTTCTCTGAATCCTTATCTTTACAAACTAAACAAACAAATGATAAAAACAAGCTTTATACTTCCAAATTCTGCTAAAACTTACAAAACAGTGGCAGAAACTGTACTTTAATTTTCACCCAGTGGGCAGGATTTCTATGAAATCTTAACCTGGAAATAATTCCATGAACACAATCTGAGAATTTATCTGGTTGGCTACAGATTCCAAGCGTTCCAGACTGAAAATATCCAGTGTTCATCTGTATTTGAGGCAGCAGTGCACAAGCAATACAACCCCAGACTGCATTACACTGCGGTACCCTGTGGCCCCACTGCCAGAACAGGCAGGCAATCATTTCTGGCAGGCAGAAACTGATGATGTCAACTGAGGGCATATTTTTCTGCTCTGTTTCTGAAATTCACTTTTCTATGTTTTGTTGCCTCAAGCACTCCTGTCCATTTTGGATAGCAGTTTGTTGCAGGCTAATCCCAGGAGTTCATTGACTACTTTGCAGAAGAAGGAATGCCTCTTCAACTGAGTCAGTGTTCACCATGCTCCCTTAGACCACTGCAATAACCCAACTGAAATAATTCTTGCCTTCAAAGACAACTTGGCAGAAACTTTTTTTTAATTACTATTTTCTTTCCTGAGCTAGCTAGTTTTCCCCATTTCAGTTTTTGTTTGTTTGTTTGTTTGTTTTTAGCAAGTCCAGGGATTCACCATTTTATCATTTTTTCAGCTACCTGAGGTAGAAGGGTTTCATTCTCTGTACACAGACACACACAAAACTATATATGTCCAGGGAGATCCATCCACAGGAAAGAAAGTACTGTATGTGTTGTGCCTATATGCACTTTCATGCTCTAACCTTGTATGTATGTATATATGTGTGTGTATATGTGTACACACAAACATATATACACAGACACACAAACACCCAGACACAGACACACACAAAACTATATTATGTCCAGGGAGATCCATCCACAGGAAAGAAAGTACTGTAATTTTCCACCTGTAAGACAATACTTTTTTCTAAAATCGTTACACTAAAAATTGAAGGGCATCTTATGCAAGGA